ATATTACACATTTAACGTAAGCATATAACGCCAGCGCTTGTGCCATTCTAACCGTGAGTATTTTAAGATTAGGTAAAGATACATGTATGTAAAAGCCAATTTTGGTCCCTTAGAGTAGTCATTCTATAATCAATTTGTCAGATATCATAATAAAAATGTTGAGCATTAAAGCTTTATGAACTTTATTTCGTCTTTTTCGTGGTGAAGTGGAAATTTATTAGATAGCCTTCATTTAGCATCCATCCTGTTGTTCATATAGTTGGATATAACCGATCTTAAAATCTGGAAAAACCCAACCAACGATTAAAACAAGATAGGGAAATATTGAATGAACTCCGCACGGAACGTGAACGGATACTTCGACAGGATAAGCAGTCAGACCATTTTATTTGATTTAAACCAACAAAAAAGTGTATTTCGTGAGTTGGGTTATACAACCAATTGGTGATGATGACCGTAAAAACTCGTGTGAGCTTTAATCAACTTGTTGTTTTTAATAAACCTTTCAGAACTATTTATATATTGTCTTAAATTTTTCTTGCAATTTTTTGTTAAAGCTATCAAGCTACTCGATTCAAAATGATTTTTCTCAGTTGATAAATTGAGAACACAATGACCTTGACATTGACTAGGAAAAAATTGCTAAAAAGACTTTCAATTCGTCGAAGTGTCTATGATTATAAGAACATGTACGCCTGTAACATATATATTGAGATATGTAAATGCTAAATGTGTTGAGTAAATGTTTACTTCATGGCAATAATTTGACTGACCATATTTTGGTAGAAAGTATACTACTGTTGCGCAAGTGTTTTAGGATTTTGGATTAAATCTTTAGAACTTACTAACTAACATCCCCAACTGATTGACACAAACGGTAGAAACTCATCACCGAATTTGTTTGTGCCATGAGAAACACGGCATATGTGTCACCCTTCTGCAAGGTCAATTCGGGATTCTTCGGGTTTGTCATTAGAAAAATAAGAAGATGTGGTATGATTGCCAATGAGACAACTATCCACCAACGTTCAAGTGAAGTGGATGTAAGCAATTATAGGCAACCGTACGGCTTTCAACAATGAGAAAAACTCATACCGTATGGTCGGCTATAAAAGGTTCCGACATGGAAAATATGAGACAATTCAACTGAGAAAACTAACGGCCTACTTTATAACAAAACAATTAACAATTCAATTCAATTCAAATGTTTATTGTCATATAAACTCTTAATAATAAGTTTGTGACAAATTATATGAATACAAACATACACAAAATACTTTTCACAAACAAAACAATAGGAAAACAAATCCCATAAAAAAAATAAAAGTAAAAAAGCAAAACAATCTATTTATATATACATATTTATATAAAAAAAAAAACAAGAGTCCCCTGTCCTCAGTTCTAATGCCTGTTTTAAAAAGGACCCTAAGCTTTCTACTTCTTTTGAGGTTGATGGGCAAAGAAGATATTTTATTTTTTCATTTTCTTGTATTAACGAAAAACAAATATGACAGACACGAACTACAGGCTCCTGACTTGGGACAGACACATAAAGAATGTGGCGGGGTTAAACATGTTGTTCCTTTTTGCCTCGACTTTTGTTTTGGTTGCAGTACGTACTATTGTTTGTCTATTTGTTGTTTTAAGTTTTATGCCATGGTATTGTCGGTTTCTCTCAACGAATCAACAAGTGAATGTTGAATATTCAGTTCGATATCGTTCACCCCTGTTTTACTTTGCGTTTATTTTGTGTAATAGGAAGTTTACAGAATTATAGCTTTATCAGTACAATGTGAAAATTAAACATGTATGTCAATTTCACGACAAGGGATAACTTAACAACACAAAAGAACGATAATGAGCTGATACATAAAATATGTATGTAAATGAATAAACAGGTTTCAAAGTAAAGGTATGTTTAACCCTTATTCATTCAGCAAGTTGCATTATAATGGGACCCATAACATTGGTTACAGATAACCTTTGACTTGGGTTTGGTGTTTTTAAATTTTAATCGAAATAAGCTTCATACAACAAACCTTTGTATAAATGATATATAAAGGGATCAGGTTTCATTAGCACGAGAATTGTCCAATTTGATCAATATCCAAATTTTAATAATCGCCATTTTTTGGTTTTTGTATTGGTTGAATCGTATCTGTATTACTTTTGACACAATTGAAACCGATTTCAAATAAACAAGCAATGTCCAATATTTCTGCACTCAAAAAAAAAACATGTGCAGAGTCTTAATCGCAAAAACATAAATATTAATTGTCCAATTGCTATTGTCCTTGTCCTTGTTCTCCACTGAAACGTACTTTGAAAATCTCAATTATGCATGTACACTGAGCAATGAAAATACATCTTTGAACTAGTTTAACATTGATTGTCCTGTTATGAACAAATGTCTCCGAATACTCGACATATGAATTATAATCCGTCACTTGCACCTTTAGTTTAGTAATCAACATTCCGTTTTCTGATAGGTTCAGTCCCTCATTTCCATAAATAATGAAACACAACTATCTTCCATCTTGATAGTTTTTTTTTAAGTTTCCATTGTCGTCTGACAGGATTTATGATAATACGGTTTATGATATGTTAATGGCGTTTTGGTCAACAAAAATGTTTCGTGCTCAGATTCTGTGTTGCTATAAGCTTTACGATGTACATTTCTAGCTTCACTGTGAAATTTGTACGTTTTAAATTGAAAAAAAAAATGAGTGTTAAAAAATATTATAGTTATCGCCAATCGCAATTTGAAGCTAAATCATTTTTTTCGTTAAACCCCCCCCCCCCCCCCAAAAAAAAACCAACAAAAAAAACCAAAACAAAACAAAAAAGTGTATATTTAATAGTTGTTATAAGCAGGATTTGCTTACCCCTGCGGATCTTCTCAGATAACGCCCGGTTTTTGTGGGGCTCGTGCTGCTCAGTCTTTAGTTTTCTATGTTGTGTTGTTTTGTGTACAGTTGTTTGTCTTTTGTTGTTTTTTATGTCCCCGTCACAGTGGAGGGGGCATTAAGTGTAACCCTTGTCCGTCTGTACATCCGTCCGTACGTCCCAAAATTAGTTTGCCTCAACCAAATGTTATGAAACTTATGAAACACATTCATATTATACACTTGTCTGTTATTGGGTGTTGCATTCTATTGAACCCTCTTTTGCAGCCGTATATCATATATGCAGTCATTTCATAAAGGAGTACAAGTGGATTTGTTGCTAACTGTTTTTATGAGTGATAACTCTCATTAAGTACTGTGAGGTCGTCAATTGATAAAAAAAAAATACTACTCTACATATAAACAAATTCATGTCTTATATATATGAAGTCTATGTGACTTCAACAACTGATTATGGATTAGTAGGTACATCCTTGAGGTCATAAACAATTTGCCATAACAAACGTAACACAAAATTCAGTATAATGACTTCAATGAATAAATAGAGTATTAAAAATGTTAATATTTTGTCTAGACACTCTATATTCCGTTGATCCTTATGATATTTAAATTTGCAGTCTGAGATATTCGTTTTCAATTGATAAATATTGTTTTATTATCTTGATTTATAGGGTTTGACATATTTTAACAGTCTGTTGTATAATTTGTTTCCAATGATAGGTATTCGTGCGTTTCGATGTTTTTAGAATTAATGGCCTCATATGAATGTGAATATCCAGAAACGCTGTTACTGTTCTCGCTTGTTGAATCTATTCCATGATCACGATTAGTTTTGTTTGTTACATTTTCTGTCTCTGATTCATTCTCTTCACTAAAAGAATCACATGTGTCATGATATTGGATAGAAACATTGATAATTTCGTTTTCCTCATTGACATTTTCTCCGACTGCCATATGGCTTCCTTGTACTCCTTCAGATATGTCGTCATACAAATGGGGCTCTTCCTGTACATCATATTTATTTGAAGTAACAGTTTTTTTATTGATGTCCGCAGATAGATTGGACGTTGCATTAGTACTTGCGATATTACCTTGTTTATTCTTTTGATAATATTTATAAGTTAAAATAATTATGATCAGGATACCGATTGGGATGATCAAGACTATGAATATCTTTTTATCCTTGATAGGCTTTACTACAATAAAAACAAAGTTATATTTTGTAATGTTTTCGCAATTGAACGATTATAAATTTGCATTCAATATCTATATTGAGTTTTTAAGTTGTGTACTATTTGTAATTTTTGGTCCCTTTACAGTTTACGATGCCGTATGGGTTTCGCTCTTTGTTGAATGCCTTACGGTCCCCTATAGTTGTTAACTTCTACGTCATTTGGCATTTAGTCTCTGGTGGAGAGTTGTCTCATTGGGAATAATACCACATCTTCTTATTTGTATATATAACACCATACCATACCGGATAAACTATTGAATTGCAAAAAAAATATTTTAGTGTTTTGTTCAGTAACAGTTTTGTTATAATCCAATTCAAAATGTAAAGCTCACACCTATTTTCTAGTGATTCAGTTATAGTAACGATGGACATAATAGCAACAGACAGTGGTTGGTTTTTCTGTTGATGATGGTTGTCGAGATGACTATCCTTTTTGCGTAAAATTAAATGAACCACATACACCAAGAATATATCACCAAAATTGTAAGCCTTGTATCTGTGATGATTCGTCAGAGTAATCGTGCTCTTGTAACAGAAATTATTCTATTGCGTAGTAATGTTCTTCTGTCGTGTATACATTCCTGTTTAATACAAACTACAGCACTCATGTGTTTTTTAGCTGTGTGACTAGATTTATTGCTGTATGACACAATTATAGTATATAAATATTTCAATGCGACAATATACTGGGACTAACCTTATACTAAGGACTATATATTGACTTTTCTATATGTATATGGTTTGTTATCAGGAAAGCTAGGCTTTTGCTGGAGCGCAAATGGAGCATTGAAAATACAATTATTTTTGAATATGACAAAAGTTATGAGCAATTATAAATATTCATGTCATCACTTACCATCGCTAGTAACGCATCCAACTCTATGATCGCATCTGCATACAAAACAAAAACGATAAAATTTCAATCAAAACCTCACCACATGTTTTCTAAGTAAACTGGATCATTTTTAATACAGAATTCAGTGATATATTTGAAGAAGGCAATGTATTTATAGAATATTCAAGCTTCTAACACTTTACCAAACACCACGTCGTGAAATAAATACATAAAAGATTTATCATTAAACATATAGATACATACTTGCCATATTATATTATACATTTAACGTAAGCATATAACGCCAGCGCTTGTGCCAATCTAACCGTGAGTATTTTAAGATGAGGTGAAGATTCATGTATGTAAAAGCCAATGTTGGTCCCTTACAGTAGCCATTCTATAATCAATCTGTCAGATATCATAATGATAATGTTGAACATAAAAGCGTTATGAGCTTTTATTTCGTGTTTTTGTGGTAAAGTGTAAATGTATTAGATTGCCTTCTTTTAGCATCCTGTCGTTCATATATTTGGACATTACCCATGTTAAAATCTGGAAAAACCCCAACCAACGATTAAAAAACGAAAGGGAATTATTGAATGAACTCTGCAAGGATCGTGAACAGATACTTCGACAGGATAAGCAGTCAGACCATTTTATTTGATTTAAACCCACAAAAAAATGTATTTCTGGAGTTGGGTTATACAACCAATTGGTGATGATGACCGTAAAAACTCGTGTGATCTTTAATCAACTTGTCGTTTTTAATAACCTTTTAGAACTATTTATATCGCTATTGTCTTAAATTGTTCTTACATTTTTTGTGAAAGCTATTAAGCTACTCGATTCAGAATGGTTTATCTCAGTTGATAAAATTGAGAACACGATGACATTGACTAGGAAAAAATTGATAAAGAGACTTTCAACTCGTCAAAGTGTCTATGATTATAGGAATATGCACGCGCGTAACATATGTATTGAGATGCGTAAACGCCAAACGTGTTGAGTAAATGTTTACTCCATAGCAATAATTTGACTGACCATATTTTGGTAGAAGAATATTACTTCTAATTGCGCATGTGTTTAAAGATTTTACACACATCCCCAACTGATTGACACAAACGGTTGAAACTCATCACCATGAGCGACACGGCGGATGTCACATATAGGGCAAGATCTGCCAAACGTCTGCAATAACACCTCCGGGGTTCTTGGGTCATGTTCCTTTTTGTCTTGACTTTAGTTTTGGTTGCAGAACGTGTTATTGTTTGTGTATTTTTGGTTTAAAGTTTTATGCCATGGTATTGTCGGTTTCTCTCAACAAGTGAATGTTGAATGTTCATTTCGGTATCGTTCACCCCAGTTTTACTTTGTGTTTATTTTGTGTAAGAGAAGTTAACAGAATTATGGCTTTATCAGTACAATGTGGAAATTAAACATTTATGTCAATTTCACGGCAAGGTATAACTTAAAAGAGAGGCGAAAGATACCAAAATGGACATCCAAACTCTTAAGTCGAAAATAAACTGACAACGCCATGGCTAAAAAAGAAAAAAAAGACCAACAGACAAACAGAAAACTAAAGACTGAGCAACACAAACCTCCACCAAAAAACTGGGGTTGATCTCGGGTGCTCCGGAAGGGTAAGCAGATCCTGCTCCACATGTGGCAACCGTCGTGTTTCAGTAGGTCACATTCGTGGAAAAAGGTGACTAGATTGTAGTTACGACATTTGGAACATATCCGCGATCATCTGTGAAACGGATGTTCCATAACGGTCAACCAACTCGTGATACGGCGTCCGTAATATTTAAAGGAAATCATGGTTTAATAGCTTCCCTGTTAGCAGCAAACCTCTATCAGGGAAATCATGATAGGAAATACAAGCCCTGGAATATCGTATCAACTTGGAGATAAATACCCCATATGCAGGCGCTTCTGGAGTTTTGAAGTTTGAATTTGGGTGGCGTCACTTGTACCGTTTTCGAGTTATGTCCTTTTATAACGTTATATGCAAGCGGGTGCATCATCTGTGTCCCATGGAAACATTCTCCGTTTTTTTCTTTTTTAGTTTTGCCATGGCGTTATCAGTTTGTTTTCGACTTTTGAGTTTGAATATCCCTTTGGTATCTTTCGCCTCTCTCTTTCATGAAAACTTGTCTTATGGTTTGATTAAAAACAAAGAGTTAAATATCTTGAATGGCATCTGCACATTATGCATAGTGGTAATATGTAGTCATAAGTTCATAAATCATAATTCGACAACTAAAAAATATAATATTTAATTTAAAAATGTCTGCAACTTATTTTCTTCAATGAAAGCAGTTACCTTTCCGATCTGCTACAACTACAGGTTTCTGCGCATTTTCTCCCGAATTGTCCATGTCGGCATTTCATACATTTTATGCCTTTAGAGTAGTGACCGATTGGACATTCTGAAATTATAAGTGTATAATTTAATAAACGCTACATGTATCATGATTGGTAGATTAACATATGTCAATTTTCCTCGTTAGAAATATATATTAGCGGTTTACTCCTGGTTTGCCCACTTTTAATTATACCAATTATCTATTAGTAAAGAAAACAAAAAAGACAAAAGGTTTAATGAGCATACAATTGTATAGTCTGTTCCAACTTAGGTATATAGTTTATTAGTGTTTTCTATATATTCAGGTATTTTTTTTTTTTGTAATTCCATTTTCATTTGTATAGAAAAATAATAAGTAAATCAAATATTTTTTCTCAATAATTTAATATCAATTCAATCAATTCATTTACCATACATGTACAACAAATGACAAAACAATGACATTCAATTATAAAAGTGTCTTTATAATTCATTAGTTTTTGAATGATTTTCATGATATAAATACACCAATACAAGTTCTCTTTTATTGCAAAAGTAATTTATATAATATATGAATCAATTTTATATATGTATTGCATAAAGAAATAAACAAAGCACTATGGTAAAATAAGTAATATGGGGCACTATATGTATAATGATGAGAAATACAATCTTTTATATATACGTCAAAAGTCACAAAACATTATATTTACAAAGTCACAAAACATTATATTTACAAAGTCACAAATTACAATATTTCACTTAGATGTTCAGGTCAAACGGAGAAGATGGGATGCTGCGTCAGAGTAGTATATCACGTTGATAAGTCCTTGTTGGTATCTGTCTTTCAGTAGTTGGAGTCTGGTCTATTACTCTGTATCGTCGTCTTTTTGGTGGGCGGGCTGCTCCTGCTGCATACTGGATAATATTACATTCTGTTAGTGCCTCGGTCTTCTTCAGTAACTCAATGATCTCGTAGATGTTAGGGTGGGCATGTTGGAGTCTCTTCGTAAGTTTGTTGTTCCATCCTTCAAGGTGATTGATGGTGCGGGGTCCTTCTGTGTAGTAGTGGTTCCATAGGAAGCGGTATCTTTCAACCCAGAACTCGGTCACGTAATCTGTAAATGAAGTTGTAGCGGGTATGTTGTCAGCTTCGCCAATGTCTTCTAAATTTATTAGCCAAACATCTTCAACAAAGTGGGGTGGAACAATAGGTAATACTGCGGCTCGTCGTATAAGTCGAGTAATGTCTTCATTTTCTTTATAATACGACTATAGTCCACATTTCTGTGCCTTTTGAAGTTGTTGAACTTGTGCGTTTTTGCCATACTTGGTTTGAATGATTCGAATGTAAGACAATTTCATATTTATAATACAATAATTTTGTGAGAACCGCTCACAAAAGAGTCAGAAATTGTTAACAGCTTGTGTAAATTGTAAAAATTGATTAAAACTTTGAAATCATGATTATTAATTGAATGATATTTTATTGTTATTTTTTAAGAAGAAAATGCTAGCTTGGATGCAGATCACTGTTTAAATTGTGTCATAATTAAAGCTCGGCTCCTGAACAGTTGCATTTATATTCTACTTGTTAGAATTAAATGGATATTTTTGTATTAGATTTCAAAACAGTGTATTTATTAAAAAAAAAAAAATAAGTTGAATAAATAAAAAGAAATTCAAATGACATTTATTCTAATCTTTAGTTTCATTATTTTACTTTTTTACTTTTTTTCAGTATGTACCAATAATTAAAACTATTATTTCATAAATTTTTAAAATGATAAACATTTTTGTACACATTTTTTCCAATTTATTTTTCTATTTGTCATTTTCCTGCTAAAAATATATCAAATATAGAATATTTTTGCACATTTTCCTTGATTAAATAGCAGAATGTAATATCCTTTATAAAATTTTACAGGTAAAATAAAGGTAAAAAATATGACTATAATTCACATGATTCAGAAATAAACTATTTATCGATAAATTTTACAGGTAAAATAAAGGTAAAAAATATGTCTTTAATTCAGAAATAAACTATAATTGTTAAAACAACAATTCCCCCTATGTTTACATAATTTTTTATGCATGTAATTAAAAGTGGGCAAACCAGGATGACACCATATTAGCTATCATTGTAAGATTTGTTTGCATAGATATCATGATATAATTGGTATTTATTTTCTTTTATACAATTTGCTTTCTTCTAATATGTATTTCTTTGTTTTAGAAATGGCAAACGACAAAATGAAATGTTAAAATGTATGATACGTTTTTAACTTACCTACACAGGTTCCATTCATCCTAAAGAAGTTATAACAACAGTTTCTCACTATTACATTCCTGTAAACGTTGCCATGCTTTATCCTGAAAAATATGCATTTACAAATAACTTCTTCTTCGATGTAAATGAACAACCTTGTTATGAAATATCGTATAAATACTGTAAATAAAGATATGTTTATGATGTTTTTATAATTGAGAACAATGTGACGGGACAACCCTACTGAAAATGAGTACGGGATTCCACTGGATTTCCAGTGAAATTACACTGGTATTCAGTGGAAAAAAATATTCCGATGGAATCCCATTAGAATTTCATCCAAAACATCTGGAATATTTTTCACACTGTAATTCCAATGGAAAATCAGTGAAATTTCCAATGAAACTTCCAAAGATTTTCCAATTAATTTCCAGTGGAATATTATTGTTTATATTTCAGTGGAGTTTTGATTTAATGCAAATATTCCAGTGGAATTTTGGACTTAGAAATTTAAAGGAATATATACTTCTAATTTAAATTTTTCAGATAATTAAGTGCATGATTATTATATAAAGGATTTAATTTGTAACATATAATTTTCTGGCCTGATAAGAAATTAAATAATATAATCATGATAATATATGGGATGTAATGAATATTTCATAAACCAACATATATACATGTATATGAAACATTTGTTCAAAAAATGTTACATGGTTAAATGTGATATGAAATCACTTGCCTAGTAACAAATGAAAATAATCATTTGGTCTGAAAGACCCCCCCCCCCCCCCCATATAAAATAAGTAAAATGGTAGCTCCTCAGATGTAGGGTGAATATAATACATCACCATATAGCCTATGAGTATGACACATTGAAAGGATACATTTTAACTATTAAGAAATAAAATTAAATGTTCAATAATCAGATAATATAAATAAAGAAATGAATATTTTATATCAAATTGGGTTGAGAATAAGATTCTGTTTGATTTAACGAACAAAAACAATTAAGATTCTTTTTGAAAAAATGTGCATGGCTCTTAAAAGGGCCGTTTTAAACAGATCTGTTGCAGAAATAAATTTCAAACTGTACGAATTGTTAGGATAACTCCGTTTTTTTCTTCAAGTGACCGTACTGGCAACTGCCCTGCACTACAGTCTACATGTATACAACAATATAATTATTTCTCCTTTGACTTCATCATGTTCATTAACTGTTACTGGTCTACTGTTCTTTTGAGAAAAGTAAAGTGAACGGATTTCATTTTCCACATTGTTCTATAAACTGTTTCGGTATCTTAACTTTGTCGGTGTGATGAATTTTTCATCGTTTTCATGTCTTGAACTCGGCACTGGAACTCGGGTCATATAAGTTAATCTATAGAAACATTTCACATATAATCCGCTCCAATCAATTGTACGCTAAATGTCAGTGTTTTGGCATAATTTGAGCAGAAAATTCGTGAAACTGTAGTCTATAATGTTGTTTTTCAACACACATGTTTACATTCATGGAGGCTGCCATTTTTTTCTACCAGACTATATATATAACTGCTGATTTGATTAGATAACTCTATTTCCGGGATTTCCGATCGGCCAATCAGATAGTCGTTATCATTAATACACGGAATGTGTTCAAATTTGAAACTAAAAATATTGTACGAATATGTATCCTGTCCAGCATTGTCCAGCTGTAGTTACATTAATCGTGTTAATAATAATTAATACTCAACAACCTTCGATAAATAAAAAAATAGACATTAAAGGCAGAACATTTAGGTATGACATTAGCTGTTGAACCAAGAATTTACGATGAGACGATGTGCTGATGTAGGGCAGACGTACAGCAGATACAGGTAATTTTTAAGAGATTTTTACATCATGAATATTTTTAATTAAAATTAAAAAAAAAAAAGATATACACCCCCTTTAGTTTCATTCATGGGCTCTGTTAGTTCACACTTTGAGGATGACCATTTGGTGTTCTGAAAAGGGGGAGGTGGGAATGTAATAATAATTTTATTATTCTCAATATTGAATTACATTGTGTGCATTCACAATCAAGGAAAGATGTTTACAGTTTACTACACACATTCAGGCACATTCAACTTAATTTTGCCATGTTCTGATTTGGATGGACATGCAACACAAAAAATCCCTAAAGGTTAATATTGTGTTTTAGAGTCTTTATACTTAACTGAAAGAAGCTTCTTAATTATATATGTACATTGTATGATAAATATCAGTAATATATGATGCATACAGGTCATGACCAGAATTAAAAATTATTAATAAAATGTTTTTACATTTTTTTTAGGTTGTCCATATATTAAAAGGGATTGATCATGGTGAAGGTACAAAGCTGCAAAAATGATGATCAATATCCACTCAATAATATGAAAACACGATGAAAACAAACGAACCAGCAGCAGAAAAGAAATTTGAGTATAAGATTATTGAAAGGTACTTATTGAATTATTTTTTCATCCTTCCCACACTTGAAATAAAAATACATTAATCATGTTAATCATTCACATCTATAAGCTGTAAACACATCTCAAAAACATTGATCCGATCATCATGCACAATGGTTAATCATGGCTATTATGTGAACAAAATGAGGTGTCTGGTATGCTTCAACCAGATAGTAAACCAACAACAAACACAACACAAAGGGAAAGATAATATGAGGCTAAATAAAAATATTTGCGTGGTTCCAATTACCTTACCTACCTTTTTTTTTTAATCTTAACAATAGCCTACCCTAAAGATTTTTTTGTCATTTTTCAGTAAGTACTGTTTAAGTCAGAATGTTGCTCCCATAGACATGATAGACTCAATGTAAAAAAAAAACCATAAAATAAAAAAAAAATTCTTACCTACCTACCCTAATTTTTTTTTTAATGTAACTGGAACCACACATACTATTTTATTTGGCTTTGAGAGACACCTGATCCATGAACAATAAAAGTCTATTTTGATAAAAAGAGATGTGTGTTATAAGTCTAAGAGACAGCAACCCAACAACTATAGCCAAAGATATCTAGAGAACACATAGTCTTTAATAATAGACATACATGTGTCTAAATTGCTCTTAGTGTATAAATGTTGTGAATAAATTACACACAAACACAAATAAAATATGCCAGTAACATATATTTTTGAATAATTGCAGACTGGAGCATGGTATTGTAATGTTATTTTAATTCAAAATTCTATGCATGTTATGATGTATGATTTTTTTTCTTTCAGATTAATTAATGAAGACTTAATGGAACAGGATTGGAATGCAGAAACTTTGGACTTAATTCATGAATAATATCAATGGATGATGAAGAAAACTGACCAAACTGACAAAGTATTTCGTATGCATGTTAACTGGACATTTTTGTTTGTTTAATGCACAATAAACAAATTTGTAAAATTGAAAATTAAAACCATTTGTGAAAGATTTCAAGAGGACCAAAAGTTACCATGGACTTATGAATGATTTAACCAGAAAAATGATTTACATGTACAATTAAGTAAATACATCTTTGACTAAAAAATGATAATTTATCAACGTTAATATTTTCGTTTAAAAGGTCTTAAATGTGGATGATGTATAAACTGTTGTAATTTCTTTAATTGTTGACTTGCATTAAAATGGTTATTGTCTTATTTCAAGTTTTCTTATTAATTCATTCAAAAATAAGCAGTGCATGCAAAATGATATCTAACATTTCAGTGGAATTGTCAATTTCCATTGAAATATCACTGGTTTTCTTTGGTTGATTGTTACAATTTCCAATGGAATTACCACTGGTATCCCAGTAGAAAACAATAAATGTCCAGTGGGAAAACAATTGTATTCCAACGAAGTTTTCACTGGTATTCCAATGGAATTTCCACTGTATTCCACTCGAGTATTCACCGGAATCCCACTGGATATTCCACTGATACCCCAATGGAAAACAATGAATGTCCAATGAAAATCCCGACCAAATTTCCCAGTGGTAATACAGTGGTATTCCAATGGAACTCTGATGAAACTCCACTGGTATTTTCAGTGAAATCCCACTTTACATTTTCAGTAGGGAAGTCTCGCCAGAATAAAAACTCGCCTTTCGAATTATTATAGCATTACTCATAAATGCAATTTTACCCAAAATTGCAATCCTTAAAGTCATATGAAACAAGTTGCTTGTAATTATAATATTAATATAATTATTGAACAATGTATGCAGATATACCAAACTTAGTCCTCTGTGCACTTTTTTTACATTTATTACGATCCCATTACGTATAATCGACAACAAATATTTCAGTCAGTGATTGAACTTTAGCTTCTTATTTTGTTGCCGAAAGTTACCGGATCGTGACCCTGAAAAGCGATAAACACAGATTCATGGAGCACGTGAAGAATACATGAGCTGATAGAGCGATGTTTTTTTAATAAGTTTACATTTGTTAATTTAACATTTTCATAACAATGGTTAAATAAAAATTTTGAAAAAAAAATACCGAACTCCAAGGAAAATTCAAAACGGAGAGTCGAATATCAAATGGCAAAATCAAAGCCTCAAACACATCAAACGAATGGAAAACAACTCTCATATTTCTGACTTGGTACAGGCATTTCCTTATGTAGAAAATTGTGGATTAAACCTGATTTTGTAGCTAGTTAAACCTCTCACTTGTATGACAGTCGCATAAAATCCTATATATTGACAACAATGAGTGAACAAAACAAACAGACATAATAGGTTAAAATGTCAAAAAAAAAGGGGTACAGCAGTCAATATTGTGTTATGATCTTAATCACTATAAAAACAAACAAATGTGTCGACAAAGAAAAACAAAATGGCATATTTGATTAATTATATTGTTCTATCAGAATCAATCCACCTTCCAGTGTACGAAAAGATATCGGCGAAATAGAGTGCGGCAAGACAACAATATAATATCAGTACATTTCTGAAGATTTTGATAAGATAAAAGCTTTTCATTTACTAGAAAACTCATGTACACCACTTTTTTATAGTAACACTTAGTCATTCAATTATATAAAACATTTTCAACTTTGTTTGTTGGTTTCATATGAATTTAACCTCGCAGATTTATCTATTGTTAAATAAGCAGTATAATAAATGCACGCACAAATTTCTGAGCTTTATTATATTTCAAACGTAAAGTTTAGAGCGAAGATATACACCTTTCATAACAACAGTATGATCACAATGAACGCTAAATCTTACTATTGAGAATAGCTTACATTTGTAAGACCATAAAAATTATGAAACCTATAAATTTTCATTAAGCGTAAAAAGTTCTATCAAATCTCTGATTATAAAAGATTTATTACACCAATGCTTGGAAATTGCATGTTTGCATACATTAGCTTATAAAATCCATTTTATTATTAACATATAGCTGAGAGAGTAATAGAGCAGATTGTTACCCTTAGAAAATATTTACAACCGAGGCGAAGCCAAGGTTGACAATGTCTTTTCGAAGGTAACAATCTGCTCTATCACTCTCTCAACTATTTGTTATCCAACTTATTGTACTGAATGTTCTGTTATTACTGTTTATCAAATTACTAACTTAAAGTAATAATCTATGATGTCTTGAACATAACAACCATCCGTATTCAATTAAGCGCACAATTGATCTAGCGTCTCCCTGGAGGGTAATAGAGTATTTGCCAAGGAATAGAGTAAATTTTCTCCCTCGTATAAACCAATCAAAATCAGGCAATTTGACGATCCTATTCATGTCAAAATGCTAGAATTTGATTTGTTAATACGAGGGAGATAATTTACTGTGTCCCTTGGCAATTACTCTATTACCCTTCATAGAGACAGTTGGTTGATTGTGCGCTTTATTAGATACGGATGGTTACATACAAGACGTCATAGTTTATTACTTCGAATTTCAATGTTAATAGACAGTAATAACAGAATATTCAGTATGATAAATTAACTAACACATAGTTGAGAGTCTGATAGAGCAGATTGTTACCCCTCGAAAAGACATTGTCAACCTTGTCTTCGCCTCATTTGACAATATTTTCTCGGGGTAACAATCTTCTCTATCACCCTCTAAGCTTTGTGTTATTTATATACACTCCTATGGAAGGAAGCGATAGTAAACATAAAAAAAATCTTAAAAGTTTAATTTTCAAATCGATTGTTTTGTCTTTGCTTGAACAATGTGATGTGTGAGGTATTCCAGACATAAATGGCAAACATATAAATAGCATTAGTTAATCCTTTATATCAGACAGGCTAACAAACGAAATCGCAAGGACGGTGTACTCTTTGCCTGAAGAAATGGGGGAGGGAGTTGATAATTTTAAGGGAATTCATTAAATCAGGTGAACAGCATGTTCAGTATTTGAATTCAGAAACATTATATTACATGGAATGGAATAGGTGAATACTGATAAACTTCATTATATGAAAATATGATTGTAGACTTATTTCTATGTTCTTGATTGGACACCAGAGGTATTTGACAAAACAATGCATTACAGCTCACAATGATGGTTTTCTTTTGTAATATTTGTAAAAGTACAAGTACCTATGAAAACAATATATAGTTATAAACATAACAACTGAAAACACATAAAAAACATAGATCTAACTAAACCATATAAAATATATTGCAGGTGAATGGTTGTCTCATTAGCAAACATACCACATCTCTTTATTTTTATAATGGTGATGTGGATAAGGTTTAAAAAAATATGCAAAGTGAGACTTAATTATGCAATACCTAGTTTTTATATAAAATCATATATAATTTTACAGTTTGCTCTTATGCTCTATTCACAAATGTTTAGATAATAGTTAAGGGAGACTTAACTAAACGTTTCATATCAACAGGTCTTAATTATAGTTTAGTCTATAACGGAAACATAACAAAACCGAGAAAACAAATAATAAATACACACATACACATACACATTAACTGAGAAAAAAGAAACAGTGACAAATTAAAAAAAACACAAATCAAACTTAATATTTTGATTATCAGATTTTCTAAATCGCAAAAAAATGTTAAATCATATAACAACAAATAAATTAGTACAAGCAGAAGACTTGAATCGATGTGCAGGAACAAAAAACGCGGTTTATTCATCCAACAGCTCCTCCTCTTAGGTGTAATACCACCAAATCATAGTACGTCACATCCGGTTGCACACGAAAATAGGTCGAAAAAAAATATTCCCTTGAATTTGACAGTTGTAGGTAATTGATCCTACATTTCATTGCAGTAAAACATTTCTGAGTCATAAACATATATCTTGGGTATTTCAAAGCACTATTATTTCTTTATTTGGGGTTTCTATAGAATATTTTGGAAACTTGAGGTTACATGGTTACTAAAGCTTGTACACAGGTTAAAAAAGGGGGAAAATTTGATTGGTTAACTTCCAGTGATGGTTATTTTCTTATATGCAATGAAATGTTATGTGAAATTTTTTCTATAGTACTGGACAGGATAAATCCTTACTCATGCCAAGTATTTCTTTATTTGAAACAAAGATAAATTCTGCACATTTTTTTGAAAAGTGCAAATTTAACAAAGACTAATAGGGGAAAATCAATGGTGGTATTACACCTAATAACGTAAACTTCTTAACACATATTAATAAGCTGTTTTATGTAAACAGATGTGCATAACCTAAGGTATTTTACAATTTGTTTGTCTTTGTGCTTCATTTCGTCCGTGTTGAAATTATCACTCTCACTTTCAAATGCAATAGAAGCAATAAAATCGCTACCTTTGTTCATATATTATCTAATGTTACTTAAACTACGGTTTAAAATCCCTCAGACACATATCGTCTTCGTAAGTGCTGGCCATTCTTTCAAATCCGTTTGGTTTAATGCTTGATATTTTTAGTATTCGATATTTTTTGGTCATATGAGCCTACATTTACATAATAAAGTGGTTTTAGAAACACATGTCGATGCAATAGGTATCATATGGTTTTCTACTACACTTGAATTGTTACTGTGGCTAGTCTATTACCAGTCCCCGAGGTTTCCACCCAAACAGTAGCCAGTGTTCGTATGCCTGTTGAATGTCTTAATAATTTTTGGTTTTGGACGCATTTGTAAAAATATAAATGAAGGTAGTTGTAAAAATGAAGGTAGATGTACAAAATGTAAAATTAAAGAAAATGTAAAATAAAGCAGGATTTCCTTGCTTGTGGATTTGTGATGACAAACAACTTTTGAATATAAAGTTCTTGATTGATATATTGAATTTAAAAATAAAGAGATGTGGTATGACAGCCAATGAGACAACTATCCACCAAAGTTCGAATGAAGTGGATGTAAGCAATTGAAGTCATCTTTGTGAAGTATTTACAATTGCTATCACTATTTTGCAAACCATAATCAAATATTTGTGTAAAAGAAGACAACCATACATACCATCTAGCAATATACCTTTTAAATAACTCTCGACACCGAATGATGACACCTACAATTTTTATTTTAAATGGAGGAGTCTATCAGAGATTAACAGAATTCGGGTATAGTATCATGATCATAACCATTACGTTCCAAATCTATTTAACGGAAATGGATATTAAGCAAATGGCTATGGGAATTTCCTGGTTTAACTTTTCTCTCATATTATACGTATTACATGTAATAATAATT